GTTGTACGTACTTTCTCAAACAATATTAATGTCAGATTTAATTTATGTTGTACGTACGTATGAAAACTGGTAGAGTTACCAGGAATGTGGAACTTCTTGCAAACTATGCAGGTTATGGGCATCCTGCATGTGTATTATTGAACTTTTATTTTAAAATGTATGATACTAACGTGTAGTTAGTATCACCGCTTTGACCCTTAAAGCTGCTGTCTGCTCTGTTTTTCTTGTTGCACTTATCCCTCTCCCGCCTACCTAAGGTGGAAGTATATCTATATATGCGGCGTCGCCGCAGCCAATCAGAAGAGTGTGAGAGAGAGAGATAGAAGAGGTCAAATTCACCTTCTTTCTCTTTCTATTCAACCGATGCTTTCACTTACACGAGCCCGTATAGTTCACCCCCTCTATCTATAATATCTCTATCGCGTGACACTCTCGTGGTTCCGGTGGTGCGCGCGACGCGCCGGAAAAGCCGGGTGGCGTCGAGGCCGGTCAGAAGACCGGGCGCGGTTGCAGATCTTGCTTCCTCATGCGCACGGCCGCTCTGGGCGGTGGCGCCGCCGGTAACGGCGAGCGAAGCTCAACCGCCACATGTTTACATTGTGGATAAATGGCAACAGTTAGGTTTATGAAGATCTACTTTGGTAGATGATCTCTGATTTAGTGAGAGAATTTAAAGAGAGATTTAAATAAATATGTTATTAGTGCCTTTTTTACTTTTTACCATTTTTACTTTATAGGTAGGTTTACTTTTTCTCTCAGTACAATTAATCAACTACGGAGCTATAAACGTTTTAATACTAAACCAGATCTTTTTCTGCCTTAGACAGAACATTTAAAATAATATCAATTGTATTTTGTGAGCGACATTGTTTCGAATATTTCGTTTGATATCGCAGAAAATCCGAATCAAGATTGAAACAGATTTGTTATTCCGTGAATGATTATCTCGCGCTCTTTATCGATTACATCACGTATTTGTAGCTGTGCTCTCAAATTTTCATTGTTCCGCGTAAATTCCCAGTTTTTTCAATTTAGTTACTCGAATAAGGATACTTTGTGGATGTAAACGATCAAGTCAAAGCGAGAAACTTCTGTTCGAAATCCGAGGAAGCGTATTCTCTACGTCTCGTTAACTTGTATACGCGACGATTTCGTGACATGTTCTCATCAAATTGATATCGAGCCGAAACTGTACATACTTGTCATTGAGATGACTCTATTTAATGTGCATTCGTACTATCTAAGCGAGTAAGCGTAGAATTCAGGGGAGAAAGTGGAAATTTCGGCGGAAGGTCGATTGATATTTGTGAGTTTTTAGTTTATCGCACGGGAAAAAAGAGTTTGGTTGAATTCATGGAGGTAGGAACATAAGAACAGAGTGTAAGCCCAGAGGAGCGAAGCACAATGAGAGGGGAACGAGATAAAAACTGTGCCTGGTTTTGATTGGTTTTATTATGCGCAAGCATACGTGTGTGGCGGCTATACTCTATCTCGCTTGCATGCGAGATGCAGTGACAACACCGCACGCCGGCGAGCTAATCTTTTGTCACTGCACGGCTAGTCCTTTGTCGCTGTACGGCAGTAAAACAGTGGAGACTAGCCCGCCGTTAGAGCTGCATCGTTCTAGTGTTTCTCTACGTAATAAAAGAGTCTTTCTTAAGGGGAGGTTCTAGTCAAATGGCCCGCAAATTAACGTAATTTCATGATTTTTTTTTTGAGCGAACATAAATGTTTTTTGAAAAAAACTTTTTATTGCATTTATTAGTACATATTTGAAAATATAAATAAAATTTTTTCACAAAAAAGAAATCAAAATGACGGCTCCTGCCCTCACTGAATAAAGCCGCGGCCATAAGCAATGTGCGCTGCACACTCTACGGCCCTGCCAAATGATCTGAAACAAAAAAACCAAAAATATTCTTAAAATAGATGAAATTTGGGGGGCCTCATGATTTTCCGATTTGTAAAAAACCCTTTTAAAAAGAAATGACGGCCATTACGAAAAAGAAGACCCTCTTTTCCCGTTTTTTTGTTTTGCTTTAACGTTAAAAAAACAATAATAAACAATTTTTTTTTAACGCTTCCTGAAGGCCCCCTAAATTGAATAAGCTTTAATTTGAGCCGTCAAACATCGAAATCGGTTAAGTCGTTGAAGTGGAATCGTGTGCGGCGCGCAAAAAAAAGTTGTTTCGAGAAAAACGCGTCTAAAGTTTGAGGAAGAAAAAATCGTAAATAATGTTTTTTGACACTTACATCTAATCAGCTATTCCAGCACCATACAGGGTTTCTTCCTCATCCTCGAAGAGCATGTTTTGCTGCATTTGGGCGATAATTTTTTCAATTCTGGCCTTTTTTATCAACTCTGATTGACTCGCGTTCGCTGACTTGACGCGCTCTTCGTCAGTCTTCGCAGCGAAGTTTCTGNCCGATTACGATTCCCAACGTCTGCATGGTTTTTAATATAGATGAATAGCCTTCATTAAAGATGCCGGAAGCTATGTATGCTGCTATTCTGATGGTTTGTTCGCCACAATGAAGGTGTTTGGGAACCAGTTTCCACAGACAAGCGTTGAAGCTTTCGTTGTCATTTTGCGTGTTTCCACCCGTGCATCTTTGCAGCAAATCGTACGAGAAAATGTCACATCACCGTCACATTTTTTACATTTTAAACACTGAGACAAAAAGGTGAAAACAGTCAGAAAATTTATAATAACATTATTATGGCCAACATTAATTTCAATATCATCGTAACTCGCGTCTTTAATTGTTTTCGCTGAAGTACTAGCATACTCAGTTTCTGCTTCTATTTTATCGGGATTATAATTGAATTTCTTCTTTCGAGGTCAATATGGTCGAACAGTTCCCACTGATTTTCGTGTGTTCAGCATTTTTGAAACACTTACTTGCCCCACGTTCGAAACGCAACTGAAATACGTTACTGTAAATAGAAGTATAGAACGCACGTCCGACCGAGGGTATACGAGTACACAATAGACAGCAATGTACAGAAATTCGTTGAGACAGGCACAAACTTGCTATCTGTAGTAGATACACCGCTTAGGCGGTGAAAAATGCCCCTCCCTCGAAATTGCTCTAGGCGCGCGTTTATATCTGTTTTTCGGCCGACGCACTTTCTCGTCTAATACGCTATAACTCCTAAAATAAATTATATAGGGAAATATCCTTCTGGCTACACATTTTCAAGACCCTAAGGGTGAAAATAAAGCAAAAAAAAACATGTTTTTTTTTTCGATTTTGACTAGAACCTCCCCTTAATCTCTGTGCCCAGTATTCAGTGGGTACATGCCTAGATTCTTCCCGGGCTATCCCTTCTAACCTCCACACGTGGACCTCATCGCGTTTATAGGTTTGTCGTGTTGCTTACATTTTATGCACTTTTCGCACCTAGAACGAGACGAATGCATATTCGGACGCTGGAAAAAAAAAAGAGCGAGAAGATTGAGTGCGAAAAATGCAAACAACGCGAACAAGCTTTATGTTAGCACCCATTAGTGTCCGTTTATTGAATATTTACATATAAGATGCAGCCCATGGATATAAATTTTATTCTACATTTTCGATTGATTTTTACATATAGAATAACCTCTTTATATGTAGAGTGTCCGTGTTCGGTCGAAAGTTAGCCACATTTTTATTTACTTGACAAATCTTCAAATTCGATTTCCTCAAAAACGAAGGCTCAAGACGCTTTCTTTCAACATATTTTTGTAGATAGAAATCGCCTAGATATCCGATATTTTATTAATTTTTCATATATTTTTCAGAATTATATGTTCACGTTCTTAATACTTCGTTTATAATTGGCGGTACTGCGCATGAGTAGAGAATTCAACCAATTAAATCCAAGTACAGTTTTGAAGATACTTCGTCTCTCAAACGGGCTCCATTCCCCTTATCCATAAATTCTGCCTACGTTCCATCTTTATATTCCTACTTCTACGCTCGCAGGCCTACTTACAGGCTAAGACCCTCACCGCGCCAATGTTCATTCCAGTGTTATTTAGGTTGCGTTCTTTTTGAGCGCTACGCGTTGTAAACATCATCCTATCTTTTTATGTAATAAACAATAAAGATTGAATAACGTTTACAGCACGTGAGCGCCCAAAAAGAACGCAGCCAGAGATCAATGATGGAGATACATGTATTATGCTCTATTTAGCGATCGTATAGATATAAGCATTATTCTATACGTCTATGACTGGAATAAAGGGTCCTATCATATTCTCATCATAGTAACAGAATAATATTAAAAATGTAAAAATACGGCAATGTTAAAAAATAAGTATGCACGAAAACTTTTATTAACACGTTCGCTGCCAATTATGAGTATACTTATAGTTGGTATATGAGCTTCACAAGCCTACGAATATACTTGTATGTCGATTATCGATCACCTGTGCCAAGCATAAGTTAATCCGTAATATAAGCACGTTAATTTGGATCTTTGGCTTGTGAATAAAGCAAAGAGCACGTATGGTGGCTTGGTAGAAGGGGATATATCTAAAAAGCATGGCAACAAACGTGTTAACCGAAGGAAAAAGAATAATAATCAAGTTTACAAATTTGTTGTGCTTACTATCGACATATTATGGGTGCGTTCGATGAGCACTATTAGCATTATAAACTCAACACTATTAACCCTTTGAGTACTGAATTATTTTAAGATTTTTATGCCCATGGGACGGATTTAATTTGTCGCTATATGGATTAATATGTAAAAGTAATACATTTTATACCCAAGTAAGCAGATGACGAGTCTCACTCGTCAAATGTACCGAAAGGGTTAATGCTGTTCGTGGGGCCAATAACGCGATAACAAGCTCCACGAACGGCATTGCGTAGCGTTAGCATTTCTGTCTGTTCTTTTTAGCTATCCTGCTGAACAGGTTCAATAAGTTAGAGTGAAACAAGTATATTTTGTCTCACTCTAACTTGTCACTGTTCAGCAGTGCAATTAAAAAGAACGGACCAATAACTGCGTTGTATATCTCGTCGTTTTACTTTCAACTTCTTTTATTCTTTCTTTTCTTCTCCTATTCTTCTTCGAGTTAAGTTAAACTTTTTTTTGAATTAGGTCAAATATCACAGTTTAAATCTAACTTTAGTTTCAACATACCGAAACTTTATTTCCACGCAACTGGCCATTACGTACAGGAATAATAGTAAAATAATGAATACGATGTACTCATATTGTACGATATTCATTTGCAAGAGCTATGACATATAATATTGTGCAGTTCTAAGTGTTCACGGAGCTTACAACATTAACGTTACCATTACACTACCTCAGAAGGAAGTAACGTTTGTAATGCGAAGTTATGATGTAAACATTAGTGACGTCATGATTGCGTTTGTTGGTACTATCTTCTAGCTCCACGAACAGCATTTAGCGCTAAATAGCTAAATAACGTCTTTCCTTATGCATTTCAAGACTGGATGGAAAGTATCTCGGCAAATACATTTTTGAATTGTCGAAATCTAATCAACGTATACGACGATAAGTTAGATAACTCTTACTGCTCCACAAGCATTATCGTCATTATTACCGTCGACATTTTCTCACCTGCTTGATAGTCGTATCGAGTGTAAAGTGAATGTAAATATAGTTACAACATGTTGAAACTTGTAACTGGAAAACTGGCGTTTGTTACTGGTTGGTGAAGTTTATTATTACTGAACTATCGAATAAAGTGGATTTGAATTGACAGTAATTATTAGAAATATACTTGAATTTAAATTAAACCCTTGAATTTCAAAAGCAGTTAAGTGCAATCTCTCTTTTATGATGTTCCATATTGGAAAATAAAGCATGAGTAAATAAACTGATCCCTGTTTGTGCTGGTTTCCTACTTCATGTGATATGTGTAATTTAAAAATAAGTTACGTAATTATTTCTATGTATATTCAATATCATTATCTCGATATATCACAGGTGCTGGGAGTGGTATAGGAAGGGAAGTATGTCGAGTTTTAGCTCGAGAAGGAGCCAAAGTAGTTGCGACTGATCAAAATATTAAGACTGCTCAAGAAACTGTAAACACTTTGGAAGGTTTACATTTCCCTATTAATTAATTATTAGGATGCCTATCAATTAATTATTATTGTACTACCTATAAAACTTGCTATTGCAGGTGATGGACATATTGCATTATATGTGCAAGTCACTAATGAGGAAAGTATTCAGGCTGCATTTAAAGATGTTACAAAGCAATTTTTAAAGCCACCTACTGTCATTGTTAATGCAGCTGGCATTGTGCGAGATAATTTCCTGGTGAAGCTCAGTGTTGATGATTTTGATAACGTGATCAATGTTAATTTGAAAGGTACCTTCATGGTTATGCAAACTGCTGTCAAAGCAATGATAGAAGCAAATACGACCAAAGATTCCTCAATTATCAATGTGAGTTCTATTATCGGTAAACAGGGAAACATTGGACAGGCTAATTATAGCGCGTCTAAAGCTGGAGTGATAGGTATAACCAAGACTGCTTGTATGGAGTTTGGAAAGTATGTATCTATGTGACATTTTATTTTGAATATCTTCTAAATATGTATGAGACACTGATTGATCTAATCCCTAATATATATTATAGATTAGGGGTTCGAGTGAATGCAGTGTTACCTGGTTTTATAGAGACTCCGATGATCGCAAGTGTACCAGACAATGTAAAGGCCATGTTTACAAAGAGAGTGGCTTTGCAAAGAATAGGAATGCCACACGAGGTGGCAGAAGTCATTGCATTTCTAGCTTCTGACAGAAGTTCTTATATGAGTGGTGCATCTATTGAAATTACTGGAGGGATGAATTGAAATAAATGGAATCCATAAAATTTTGTCAGATCCCCCAACATTTTTATCAGATTTATGAAAAAATGCGATATGTTAAATATCAAGATGTTTATGATCAGATACATATATTTTATTTTTGAAGAGATATCCTCTACTTATGCAGCTAACACAGAATATAATAACTATTGTAATTTTTGAAGAGATATCCTCTACTTATGCAGCTAACACAGAATATAATAACTATTGTAAAACACAGAAGTAACATTTTATTTTATGAAGAACATTTTCAGGGACCAGTTATAAAACATTTCTAAAACAAGTATGTGCTCTATTTGGATTATATAAAAATTTAATAATTCATATCTCTGTTATATAAAATGTTACCTATGTGTTATGTTTATGTTCTATAATTGTATTCCATAAATAGATAAGACTAGGTCTACAACCTCGCTTTAATACGTAAGCAATTGCAGATTGACTAATTACGGTTATTTATTCATGTTAGACCATAAAAAAAATAATTGACTGTGGTTGTAATCAATTGGCTCACTGCTTACTTCTTAAAACGCGGACTATTAATGACTACCCAGCCTAAGGACTACTAGTGTTTTTTTTAACTTGTTATGTATGTATTATATCGTACGATAAATTTCATTACATTACGATTGTAATCGTTACATTGTAACAATTAACTGTATTTGCTGCTCCAAACATAAAGATTTCACGGTACTTTGTAAAATTATACATAATTATATACAATTCTTTCATATGTGAAAGTTCTGTTTTTATGGTCATATACATATTATCATATTTATTCAATTAATCTTTAACACCACAAACATAAATAGTTACTTTAATTGTATTCGAACAACAGCATTTTTTTCCGTGTGTGTATACATAATTGTATACACACACGGTGGTAATATATGATTATATATAACCGTGTAGAGAAGCAAGAGGAAATTCATATATATAATTACATATAATTATATTTTCTTGGAAAATATATATTAATTTTTATATATATTAATATAATGCCATAAATAAAAAAACTTGCGATTTTTATATGTTTCGTTAAATTATTATATATATTTACTATTATTATTATTATTATATTATATATTAATAATATAATTAAGAGATATTTCTTTTTCTAAATTTCTTATTCTAAATGTTCTTTCTAAGTAGTTTTAGATTACTGCATTAGAGAAAGGATCAATATAGCGGAGTGGAAAGTTATGGTGTGAATCTGACGGTAATGACTCGCTAAAGACGATTAATCATAAACTCAGTTTCCGCCGCATGCGGTAATCGCGCATTAGTGCGATAACAGTTATTACTTTCCGAAGAACGGACACCGTCCACGGGACAGCTCGTGAAACCGACGTTCACGTAAAAGTGGGAGACCGCAGCTAGGATATATCGGAACATAAACTCGATATAAGCACAGTATCTCTGCAACTATCGCCTTAGATTATTTAAGATTATATGAGCACAAAAGTTTCATAAACGTGTCGCGTAAATTACTAGCCACGAATTTCAATTGTTTTTACATTTCATTTCTGATTTCATTCTTATCGGTTTTCATTTTGGTTCGATGTAATATGTCTTCAGTCTTACGTGAAATATATTTAAACATTTGCGAGACGATTTTCACAACCATTCCGAGGATAACTATAGATTATTGAATGATTGCTCTTTATTCTTCTTCGACAGGAAACGTTTTTTTGTGAGAATGGCATGGTGCAAATTTATCTTATATCTGTCGCTGTTACATCGATTTTCGATTTGTTTGCACGTAAATGAAGTCGCACTATCCTTGCAAAATCTTCCGGCTTCGAAGGACTTTACAGTTGATGTAAATATCCGGAAGAATTTTACGGAACAGTTCATCAGTGTTGAAGATAAATCGGAGTTTCCATTGAGAAGCACGAATGTACTAAACGGTACTGAGAAAACTGTTGACGAACATTGGGATCTCGACCGAGTCTTAAAAATCTGGGATCCGATCGCCGTTTCGCGTTTTTGGAAGAACGAGACGTACCGGGATGCAGGCGTTTCGTTATCCTGCGATGAGGACTTGACTCGGTACATGACGGGCGTGTCGAAAAGGGCGAATTGGGCTTTAAGATGTAAGTGATGTGACAATAACTAGTGACGATTTTGAAATGCTTTATCAATTAGAATTTAAATCAAGAGCTAATCGAATTGTACAATGGAAGAAATAGGAAATATTTCAAACATTTTATTGTACTTAGATAGCGAGCATGATTTCTTTTTTTCGTTGAAACCAGGGACTCGTACCGAATGAAAATATAGGTGCTGGTTCTAGTCCACTAAAATACTTAATAAAGGTTCCGGTTTCGGTTTCGTTTTTCTGGACGATGAAAGTACCGGTAAACCATTTAAATTGCGGTTTTTTCGAATCCAGTTCTTTAAATTTGTTTCCTTACTGAAATTTTTATTGACATATATATAACATGTACAATAATATATCGCACCTCTGCTAGAAGACGGTCACGTCTCTAAAATTATCAAATTCGAGTTGTTGCCACAATCGTGTCAGGAATAATAGTCTTCTAGCAGAGATGCGATATTATAAAAAATAATAATATCTTAAATAAATAATCTTCTTCGATGTAGATGGTTCTTCACTATTTCCATCTTCTGCTCTTAACTTTTTTACATATATAATATTATTATATAGAGGTTATTTGTAACCTCTTTCTAACGGAACATGTAAATTATGTAAATTCTAAGAATATTCGGGGAATATCTCGATATTCTCTGAACTTTCTCAGAATATACATATTACGTTAGAGTAATTTGTACAATTCAAGATGATTGCCTTTCTATTTATCTCAAAATTGTAATATATTACTTCCACTAATCCTTTTCTGTTCAATATCGTATGTTTGAAGTTTATTTTCTATTCGCGATAACTAATCAATGTTCTGCTTTTTCATGAGAACTTTATTATGAGAGAATTTTATTATGAAATGAAAAAAACGATTATTTAAAATCACAGAATAAGAACTGAAATAGTGAGAAAACCTCAAATCGAAAAAATGTAACACTTCCGATTTCGGTTCCGATTCTGTAAGCTTTATAAAATTTCGACACGGTTTACGGTACCGGTCCGACAAAAATATCAGTTTCTATATGGTTTTCGGTTTCTGTTCCGGTCCAGGTCTCTGGTTGAAATATATATATAGGCAACAGATTAACAGCGCGATTTACCACTACTTAAAATAGTTCATCGATGATCATTAAATTCTAGACGGATTGTTTTCTCTTTGCAACGTGAACTGTGCGAGGTCGAAGGAATGTGTCACTAGAAAACTAGTTATTCGCTAACTCGCCACAAAGTTCATAAAATTTGACACTAATCGTTAGATTAAAAGTAAGAAGTGTGTCTCATTTGTGGTTTCCATTGTATAACAATTTCCTATGGCAATATACTTATCTAATATTCATTTTTATACGAGAGGATTTTTACACGAGAAGTTGTTTATATAACACATAATAGCATATAACTACCTAGCAAGTGCATAATATTCCTAGAATATTATATGAATACTTTTAAATATTAAAATAATATATTTACATATACATTCTTAATTTTCTAAGAATGTAATATTTTTTAATATTATAGGGATGTTATTGATCCACTTCACATAATATCTTGACATATTATAAAAATGTTCTTAGAATACTAAAGGAAATAAAATAATAATGATATAGAAAAATAAATATAAATAAAAGATACATATATATGTATGTATAATTTTTTAAATATTAAATATATTTTTACACAAAATTATTTCGACTTTATTTATATAATAAAACAATTGGTATAAAATACATTTAAACATATAGAGTAGAATATTTAAACTATAATATTATAATAACATTAAATAATATTACGCTTTTATAGGTCATGTACTTCCTAATATGTCGGAAGCATTAATTGGTTTCTAAATCATTTGCTATAATAGTTGTTCTTCAACTGCAGGAAACTCTTGTTGGATGTTGTTCAACAAATGTGGAAAGTTATCGACAGACTCTCGGATAGATGCATCGTTCGTAAATAAATGTCACTTTCATTGCAACGCACCAAGTCAATACTCGAGCTTTATTCCAGACGCTCTTTGATTGTCACGATAATATAAAATTACTAGTTAACACATTGCGTACGGATGACGAGAAATCTCGGTTTTAGTAAGCCGAACGTTGTGGCCGGGCGACGAGATATCTCGTTTTCAGGTTTCTTCGACTTAATCGATGACTTAAGGAATTAAAAATAGATTTTCTTGTTACGTTACCAGGGTAACGAAGTCTTGCGCATTCTCGAAACAAATGGTTAGCGAATAAATGTGTATATAGTTGTCGTGTTGAGCGAGTAGAGTGCCGTACGCAATGTGTTAACGCGCGGATTGACGGATAATTTGACAAAATTTTAGAGTTCAATGTTATATTCCTTTATATCGCATTGTTATATTTATATTTTTATTATGTTACACACACACACACACACACATACACATACACATATATGTATGTAGCAATAATTATTATATTACATTTTCGTTATATATTTACTTGCAATTCATTATTTACATAGCCAAATCTGCAAAAATAAATTTCGCTGCAAAATGTAAGCAGCTTACTGGCAGAAATAACAGGATCTGATGATAGAATGACATCTGAAATCGAGCAGGATCTATCGTTTCAATGTATTTAAATGGAACATACTGCAGATCATGCTCGCCAATTTCTGCTGCCAATCTGCTATCAAATTCTGTCAGGCTCTGACAACAAACCAGCATCATATTGCGGACACAGATGACTGGATGGATTTGTCGATAGATCCTGCTTAATCTGTTGCTAATCTGTCGTTAGATTATTAATAAATTGTTTATTGGGTACTCGCGTGTCAGTAGTTTATTCTAACGTAACGTAATATTGCGTGAGACTACCATTCGTGCTAGTTTTTTATAGAAGAGAAAGAGGGATTTTTTTTAAGGAGTCAGGTAAACCGCAAAACACTATTAACCGTTACTTTGTGACATAATCCGTACATCTGAATTATGGATCAAACGTAACCAACTGACGTGGCACGATGATACAACGAGGTGAAAGAACTTTCTTCTGAAGCGTATCTGACGTGTTCCAACCGTATCGCTTATTTAAGCTAATTATATCCCGTTATTATCCATATATAGCTCCATGTTACGGTTCAGTGTCTTTTAACCCTTCAATAAGAACTCTTCTTGCGTGAAACTCAGTCGTTCAATGCTATTGTCTTCTTTTCCGTTTTTTTCAAGTTTTTTTTTAATCTTCATATTTTCTACCTCTCTTTTATACTTTATCATTAATGTAAATTTGTTTTATTGTGTGGAAGGGTTAATATATTTTATACAATATAATTATATTATTGTTGCGTGCTGAAAAGTTATACTGCGTTTGTAAAAGTCGAGGCACAATTTTCTGTTTTCAGTAATGGACGCGGACGGCAAGCGCACATGGGGTACATTTTCCGGTAATACATATTGGCTCGGAGATACGGATCAGTGTCGCAAAATGGAAAACGGATTCACGGAATGGCAAAGGGATGAGAGACTCCAGCGAGGCGAAGAATTGCCGCCCTTTCGTGTCAGTATGAACTCCGTCAATTTTGCCCTTGACATTCTGAAATCAGGACTAAACGGGGTAATTGGAGTGAAATATAGACGATCCTCTTAACCCGAAATAATCGGAGTCACTTTAATATGAAACGTTTATTTGTCAGAGTCGCAACATTACGCTTGGATTATGCCTGCCAATAACGTGCAACACAAAGGATGTCGAAAAACTTTTATATTTTGTCCAAAATCAATCTGACACTGATTTTCTATTACGGATTACTATTCATCACATACGAAATCTTTCAACGGGATACACTTTTTGGGATGACAGGACATTTCATATTTTGTTGTATGTTGGTATTATACAGTCTTCCCTCACATTGTCATGTGGTAGAAATAATTCGGTCCAAATTAATAAATTATTAGCGATATGAAAGACAATTTCAAGGATACATCTCCAATTATAAAAAATTAACCTATACGTTTTAATAATTACTATCTATATAACAACCTCGAATATATACTTACGTACAAAAATTAAAATATTATTTCATGACCATAAGAACTATGCAAAATTTAAAGGACTGTAATATTGGAAATAATAAAGATAATGTGATTGTGTCCAAGAAACACTTTGCAGACTTAAGTTTCTAGTTTTAATATATATTATTGAATATAAAGATTCATTATAATTTTTACAATGCTATATAAATATAAATAGAAACCGATATAGTTGACTCACTTATATATGTAATCATATATAATCATATATATGACCGAACAAGTTTTATATTAGCATCCATTAGTGTCCGTTAATGTTTATTAGCATGTGAGCACGTAATAGAGGATGTTATTTTTTAATATACGTAAGAAGCAAAATCCCACTATTTTTCCCATTACTTAAGTCGTTTCATAAATACTTTATACTACATTTTTATCCTTCAAAATTGCTTTCAAACATTTTTATTATTGAATATTTACATACAAGATGTAGCTCTTGGATGTAAATTTTATTCTACATTTTCGATTGATTTTTACATATAGAATAACCTGCTTATATGTAGAATGTCCGTGTTCGGTGGAAAGTTAGCCACTTTTTTGTTTACTTAAAAAATAACATCCTCTATTACGTGCTCACATGCTAATAGACGTTAACGGACTCTAATGGATGCTAATATAAAACTTGTTCGGTCAAAATGGTATGGACAGAGCTATTTGTTATCTTAAGCTCGCCAGCAATCTCTCACTCGGCGATTTCCAAGCACTAATTCCTTCACTTTTGTAACGTTTTTGTCAGTATTTAACGTGGATGAATGATCAGAACGAAGCAAATCTTATATATATATATATATATATATATATAATAAGTTATATATGAATACATAGAATAAGGTATTTAAATTGAGATACCTTAATATAATAAAAATAAAGCAAAATAGAAAGAAATGTTTCAGGCAAAAGTTGTATGGTTTGGAGGGGGACATATTTTTATCTCCTTAACTTTGTTGTTCGTCAATAATTCAAGGTCATTTCAAGGTCAACTTCATTTATTTTAATGGAGTTATATAGTTTTTTTTAGTACAAATCGATTTCTCTGTTCATTTTGCATATAAAAATACTAGGATGCGATTATCGAAAAGTGAATACTTTCCTTTATATTTTACTTTATATTTTCCTTTATATTTTCCTAGATATTTTGTTTTTTATTTTGGCATTTTTCAATATAAGGCATAAAATATCTTATG